CTTCCAGACAGACTTTCTGCAACACACTCTGCACAGTACACACTTGGGACTACATAAGCACGGCCTATCACCTATCCAGTTATTACCTTGCTTCTCCTGTTTGTATCGTGCTGTGTGGAGAACCCAACTGGGTGTGTGTGCTTGTGTATCTGTCTAGGCGTATGCATGTGTGTAATTGTACATGAGTGTGTGTGTGTGTGCTGGGATGTAAAGGGTGGCTCTCATTCCATGTGCTGCTGTAAACGGGTCAGTGCGTCTCCTGGGTGAGCTGGACTGGAGTCTGCTGCTCACTGACCTGAGGCTGCATGTCTGCACAGGACTGGCTGATGCAATGACCTCAGATTTTTGAGTTTGTCCTGAGCACTGGTCACACTGGGCTGCACCAAGTCCACATCATGGATCTAGACATTATAGTCCCAGTAGTGGTCTTTCACTATTTGTCCTTCAGGCATTTGTGCCATGACGTGTTTCATTCACTGTATGGTATTTCACTGATGGGAATTTCTAGTTTAGCTGTTATTATTCTTAAACATAACTAATTCATGCATTACATCAAGGGCAGTAGCATCATGCTAGGGTTGGCATTATATGAAATGCTGACCCAAATGTCACAAGCAATTACAGACTAAGCTGTTTTAGAGATGACACTATACACACTCTGTTGCACAATGTGTTTAATGTTGAATTAAATTCAGAGTAATGTAAAAGATACGCTTGTAGTGTCAACCCTACTGAGAATCAAAATGGTCTCCTTTGGCTGCATTGTGACAACAGAGCATTAGAAAACACCTGCAGATTTCCATTGCTATCTATTCACTTAAACGGCTTTCAGATGTGCACTGAACTGTGGATGTTCCCCCGAAATTATACGGAGTGGCTGAAGGTAAGAATGCAAATGTCTGAGTCATTTGATATGGACATTCTGCAGAGATTTTTTCTGCCAGCTCCCTGGTGAAAGAATCCTGAGAAAGAGGATTCACTGTGAGTGAGTGGGTTGATGTTTTTTAGACTTTTAAAAATAACTGTATGATACCTTTCCAGCATTAAAATATCGTTAGAATATAAATGAATATAATGAATCAAACATTAGTGCCCTGTATAATTGCTCAGACATTGTTGGACCAAACAGCACTTAAAGGGTAAATCGAACTTCAGTGTTTGTTCACTTCAAAGTCTGTTTATCCATGTTGGTTGTTGCTGAAGTCTACAGGTTTGAAGATGGGGGAAAAAATCCGGGGGTGCAGCATATGAGTGAAGTGAGCTGACCAGACCTCCTCCTCATCTCTGCTGGAGGCTTGTGGCTCCAGGCTGTAGTAGCTGTTAGTGGTTGAGTTTCATTGTGGATAATAAAGGCACTGAGTCTGAACAAAGGAAGAATGGAAATTGAATTTCTTACAGTTTTAGTTAAAAAAACAAAAAAACAGCAACGTTCAAGACTAAAGAGCAAAAATTCATGCAGTAATGCAACTTTTCTCTCTTGTTCTTAACACAACAGTTTCTGTCACTTTTGTGCTCATAAACAAGTGCACAACTCTGTCTCCCAGCACAGACTGAAAGTGTGCTCTGTTGTTTCCATATTCATATTCTATTTCTTATTAACTATTGTTTCTCTATGATGGCACAGGTTTTCAACTGCTCTTTTAAAGTGACTGAACAGCATTTGCCCACAGTCAGATGAAATATCTTATCAAGTATAACCTGACCCTTTCATTCAATGTGAGCTGGAAAAGCAGGACTCCAGTGATCTACTACTGTTGACAAGTGTATGTTGAGTGAAGCTCAAACCATTACAGTGGGACTCATCAAACAGTATATTCAAGACAACAGCTCATCCATGGCATGGCAATGACAGCTGATTCTCCAGTTGGGGTTTCTGTGTTCTGAGTCAAGCTTCAGCAAACTTTGATTAAGCAGGTGAACAGCTATTTTGCAGTTATAGAAAGAAATCTGCAACCCGCATTACCTCAAGCCAAGCAAACAGCCCATTCCAAACAGACAGGTTTATAACAGGCACTAGTTCCAATAATTACATTTCCACAAGCAGCCAAACCTTCAGTGGACTAATGCTGCTGCGTGAATAGTCAACTAAAATATAGGTACCTACACTCTGTGAAGGTGCTACTGCTGTTTGCTTTGTAATGATTTTATATTTGTTTGACCTTCTGTAGAGAACAGGTCTTAAATATCAAATCACCTCTGAACGTTTGCAAAAGCATTTGTTGCACAAAACTCAAATTTATATAAGAAGCAGCTTTGCATCATTACTGTTGTTGCATTTAAATTGACATCATTTTACATATCTATATACAGCATCTGAATAAAGAAGGAAAACTATTAATTTACCAACTGTAAGAGAAAGAAGGCATGTGGCAGGATGACACCTTCTTTGAAGTCATTAAAAAAACTTGTGGGTTTTGAAAAATCTTTGTAGGTTCACGGTGAAAACGTCAAATTAAAACGGGAAAGTGAGATGGCACATCAATTTTAGCTCAGTTTTCTCATTTAGAGAAGCACTTAAACACACGATGCTTTGGCAACGAGAACACATTTCATTTGTGTTATGTTCTTATATAAGATAGTTAGATCATTCCTTTTTGATAAGCTTGGGTAGATACTGTATATCCCATTTTGAACTGTACAGTTTTTATCAACAGTTATTTTTTTAATGCCTCTTTTGTTAATGTCTAATGCTAAGCTTAAGGCTTAAAGGTACTTGGTGGTTTGAGACAGGGTTTTCATATTCTTGCTTCAATAAAAAACAGCTTTTCAGTTAAGTTCTAAACAAATGATGGAAGTTCTCCTCATACCTGCATCTCTTCACCTCTCACTGCACCAACCTGCTCCCGTCTCAGAGACACAACAATCTCATTTCAAATGTTTTGTCATAGCCTACATGCAAATATTATACCTGGCTAATGAATGGCAATACTGATGATCCAGCTCTCCTGTGGTGACATGTTTTTCTCCAATTCGTTCTGCAACAGCAGCTCATCTATTCAGCGGCAGCAAACCGTGAAGCGGTCGGGCTGAACACGACGCCACATGTTCAGCTGCATGCCAGTGTTAGAGTGTGACAGACAAGATGTCTCTCAACAATATGAATCCAATGTTTAGAATGTGGATGTCAATGATGTGGAATGGTCCCCAGTAGTGACAATCATTTTATTTATGTCTCTGTTTGTTAAATGTGCAAGTTATACTAAATTCATATGCCTCATTTACATCTCCATTAAAAGCAATTTTACTACTCAACACTAAAACATTGTGGTAAATTGCAACATCCATGATTCTGTTTTCATTAATCTGACTGATTTACCTTGTGCTCAATCTAAGATTTTCATTGATATTACAGTTTTGGGACAAATTTGGGCAGTGGAAGTGAGCTGTTAAAGAATATAGACATTATCTCTGTTTGGTTGATTAGGAATGTAATTATTAATTATTCTCCAAATTGATTCATATGTAGATACATTTTTTTGATAACTGATTCAAGTTCATTGCATAACATGTAAAAAAAAAAAAGCAAAGGTGCCATCACAACTTCTCATCCTCTTTTCAGATTCTTCATTTTGTCTGACTAACCATCCAAATCTTAACACATTCAGTTGACAAAAATATCAATCAATCAAATCACCAAAGTAGGATGGTGCTAAATTGAATGTATTCCTCTGCCCAACAGAACCAACACTCAATAAATTTGCAAAAATAGTGGACGGATTACCACAAAACCTAGTCGAAGGACGTGACATAGGCCGTGAAAATACACATTTTATTTTAGTCAGGAACACTTTGTCATGATTTACCCATTTATTGCACAATGGGTATACAGTTATGATTAGTGCTGAAGGCTCCATTCTTTGGATGTTCCCTAGATTAGCCGAGCAGCGTGCTGAGATAGGGACAGGGAACATGTGCAGAACCCTCCGGTGGGCGTAGCAGGCAATGTATATTTGTTAAAAGTGAATATCGTTTACCACAACCATGTTTGGACTCTGTGCTAAAAGGTGGAGGCTGGGGTGGTGGAGCCAAGTTGCTTGCAGCAGGCGTGAGTGGCAGAGTAGCTGAGCAGGGATCAGTGAGGATGAGGTCGTATTTAAAGGGAGCGCTTCGGTGAGAGAATGGGCTGTGATTGGTGGGTGACTGACGAGCACCCATAAACCATCAGTAGCTGACAGCTTGTGACAGCTAAGGACATGGCTCCGTGTCCTGCATGAACTAAAGCAATGCTTCATCTAGGCATGGGTCTGGACCTCTTTATATACAGTCTATGGTCTGGACATAGGGCACGTCCAGGATTTTTTGTACATTTCACCAATTTCCCAGGGAATAATTCATGGATCTTGAACAATATGAAAATAATCAGGCACTGTAATGGACAGATATCTATAAAGTATGCAATTTGGTGCAAATCCACATAACCTTTTGGATCTAGTAAATTTAAATCTGGTCTTCTAAGGGGAGTGTTGGGCCTTGGCAGAGGCCAGTTTGATATGGCAGACTTTTGAACATGTTGCTTTTGGAAGGGGAAAGTCAGCGCCTGTTACTCTGGGGAGCCTGTTGTGAACAAGTGGAAAATGACAGGTTCCAGTTTGGTGTGCACCTGCCTCAAATGTCTGTGTCTGGTCATCCAGAAGAAAACAGCATGCAGGAGGTCCTGCTGTACAGTGACTGCAACGGGGACAGGAACAGGGATAGAGAGGGGGGATCGAGGAGGGAGGAAGGAATTGGAGGGAGCTCTGTTCCTGTCTGGTTTCCTGTCCGGGTCACTGCATCTCACATGCGAATTCACACCTGACACATTTTTGCCCAGTCTATCTTTAGTTGCTTGGCTCTCTCTGACTTTCCTTTGTGTAAATACTCCAAAGAATTGATGACTCATAAAATATGCCTGCCTGTTGTTACTAACTCTGCACCTGGAAATGTGTATTTTTGCTTTTAGCTGCTCTCTTCTATTATTCCTCTACATCCTTTCACCTGTCCTTGCCTGCCTCTCCCAACAGGATGCGTTTGAAGTTTTGGCACTGAGCTATGAATTCAGTGAGATTGAAGGTCAGTGTCAGGCCTTCAGGAGAGCTGCTTCAGTCCTGAAGAGTCTGCCCAGCGCGGTGCGGCGTCTGGGAGAGGTTCAGGATCTGCCCTGCTTTGGAGAACATACTATAGGGATCATAGAGGTAAGGCCTAGAGCACTGACCGCCAATACATTCATTTTATGTGTTGCTGAAACAATTGTCTTTTTAATGCATTCAAGTGCTGAACACTTGTCATCCTCTCACAGCATTTGTGAATAATAATTGATTATTGTGATGGAAATATTATGGTTATTTTTTAAAATTATTTTTCATTCAGTATTTTTCGGGGCCTGTCTAATACATGATCGCAGCACATAGAGTAAAGTCACAGGAAGAGAATCTCAATCCACCACTTATTTGTGTTAGAATACTGAGTCCCCTTTTCTCTATTGCAGTATGCGTTGGACCCAAGGTTGTGTTAGGGAGCTAGATGGATTACAAATGTAGGAAGGTAAATATTGTCTCTGCAAGAGGGCCACATGAAGTCTGATGTCATGGGACAACTAATGCTCATTTTGCAAGGACGGCTCAGTTGCGATGATGGCAGCTACTAATTGTTAACTTCCCATACGGCTTATCCTAGTCTCCCTGATGCATCCTGTTTTGAGAATTAAAACTTCCACTTAAGAAATCATCTGGCCCCAGAAAAAAACGAAATTCCTTCATTCTGCAGGATTTCTCTTACAATTCTCTGACAACATACCTTGAGACTGTAACGTGTTCAGGAGCTGACTGACTTTTCAAACAAGAAGAGTTTTCAAATCAGCTCCTGTTTGCAAACAGGAAGTGACTGTAATGGATTACCTCTCTCACCACACAGCTTTCCGGTCTCTTGATCTTGATTTTCATACTGTTCTGAAACGATCTAAAGTCAGAGCCTTGACAAGAGGAAGCCAATCTCAATACACTGGGAAACGCATGGTCAGCAGTAATGCTAAATGTAGGTGATGTGATTATTGAGCTAAAACAGTAAAACCTGTAGAGATGGCTGTTTAATGTAGCAGTAAACCATGACCTTTATAGACTTTTATTACAGAGTGATATGAAGAGCTGCAACACTGACAGACCTGACTAACTCCACTGGGAAATAATAACACTGACCACTTTGCAGTTTGTAAAGGAATATTGCCCCCCTCAATTAAACAGAATAAGTATAGTATATCAACCAACCTGATTAGTTACAGGAGTATTAGGAACAAATCAATCATTCAGCTATATGTGACTTACCAAAATACCTGTATAAAAATTAACATTTTTGCTGAATATTTTTGTTTTAAAACTAATATACCTTTTGATATTAACATCAGAAAGTAAGTTAGAAAATAATAAGAGTTGGAAAAACACGTTTCTTAATGGTAGTTTGAGAAACAAATAATAACACCATTGTTAAGCATTGTAAATCCAGTGGACTCAGAGCCATAAGGAGGAAAATGTTCACACTGGGGTAGTAAATGTAACAATGCTGGGGAAATGGTGTTTGGAACACATTCAACATATATGTCGTGACACAAAACATAAAACATAGAAGAACTCATTTCAAATCCCATGGGCTTCACTGCAAAAGACCCTTGAAGTTCACTGAGGGTGAGTAAAGGCTTTATTACTGACTTTTACACTCTGTGGACTCGAGCAGTGGACAACTACAAATAAACAATGTCCAGGTATGTCAGAACCCAAACATGAAAAATGAGGGAGTAGCAAAGCTTGCAACCTGTGGCAACCAGTTCTTTCAGTGCTGTAAGCCCAACTTACAGTGCTCGAATGTTTTCAGTTCAAGCTCAGCCCAATTTTGTCAAGTAATTCAGAATGAATTAAACAAGCAAGGCACCTTGATGTCACACCAGTCGGACAGGTTACAGACAGCTGTCTCCCAGAATCCAAACTCTGCGGCACACTCTCAGAACATATGAAAACAACTACCAGTTGCTTTCAGGGGACAAGGATGAGTAAGAGAGGGTTCAGATATTGTGTTTATTGAGTAAAGCATCCAAGGTGTTAGATACACACATATCTCAATCTAATGTATGACTTAGATCTGATGATGATGATGCTAAACTTAGTTGCAATAAAAGAAAGAGTAACTATTTGGCAGGTTGTACTTAGAACATATGACCTTGATCGATTTCGATATTTTGTATTGATATTTTGATGGTGGAGTCTTCCTTTAAATTTAGCTTGTTAGTTTGTTTTCTGTCAAGACGAGTGAAGATTCATCTTTCTGAATCTGCACAAATATGCTTTCTGTGGCATTTCATCTCATGAAACTAATTTGCCATGAGCTATTGGAGGTAAAAAAAAAAAAAAAATATGACATTTGAGTTCAATCTTTCAAAAAGATATAAAGAAAAGTTCTGATATTTCAAGTCCCGCACAGATACACAAACTTGCCCCACTGATGCTCACACATGAGCACACATACTGACAGGCATCACACAGATTTACTTCATCTTCTGAGAGAGAAAAAAAAACGTCTTATTGGGTCGCTGGGCAATCATCCCATCACCTACAGTGGAGCTCAGGGCAGACATCATGGCAGGTTGTCAGGGAAAGTGTCGAAAATTTTTTGCTCGGAGAGAACGGTGAATCCCTGTAGGAGAACAAGGTGAACCCTGCAGTCTAACTCACTGACACATTAAACCTAACATACACACGGCCGTTCTCGGAGCAGGCTTCAAAATCTGTCACATCTCCCACCACAAGGCTGATTTATTTAACAAAATAACATAAATGTACCAGAGAGGCCAAATTAGACTGCCTGTGAGTGACCTCTCCCTCTTGTTGTTTCCACACGACTCAGACGTACGCCCAGCCGTGAGTTTTTTTGTTTGTTCGTTTTTTTTGGTTAGGCTGTCTCTTTGAACAGATCGCGGCTCAAAACAAGAAGATGACATGACACGAAAAACAAAGTGAAACCAAACAGAGTAAAAACAAAATGCCTGATGTGCCTTTGAACATCGGAGTGACACTGTCAGCAGCGACTGAACCGCTCGCTGCTGACTGAGCATCCAAAGTGGAGATATAAACCTACTGACATGAAAGTCTGGGAGCACTGAGGCAGAGTTGGTGATGAATAGATAGTATGCATTTTCTGTGTGTATGCGTGTGTGTGTGTGAGAGGGGGCATTGTGCATGTTGAGAAGTGCATCTCCCTCGGAGCTGGGAGTGTGTTGAAGAATTATCCTTGCGTTTGAGGTTGGCCTTAGCTGGAGGGTTGAAAGGCAGAGGTGGACGGCTGGATGCATCATTGAGCACTGAAGGCTGCTTTAATCTGCACTGTATTCACAGTCTAGATCTTAGGTTCACTGGTTCATTGAAACTAGATGCCATCACTCAATGCACAAGCTCGAAATGCACATGCATTCTTATAGTAAAACACAAAGATGCAGGCTCACTTTTGACACTAACAACTTTTACAATTTCCCCTCGGGTGATGGTGGACATTAACCAGCGAACTGCTGTCTGAGTTTACACCTTCTTGTAATGAAGACAGTTAAAATGTGACCAGCAAATTGCTGGTGTTCTGCTGAGTAAGGCAGACAATTAAAGGCAGAACATAGTTGTTCCAGAGCAAACAATAAAAGCTAGAGAAAACATTACCCTGGGCTTTTTTTATGAATGCTATAAAATCAGTATTAATCCCAGGTTTCACAACAGCAACGTCATTATTTCTTGAAAAGAAATGGAAATGAGGAAAACTGATTTAAGTGGAAACTGTTTTAAAATGTCCAGCAATTTGGGTCATTTGCAAATCGCTGATGGAACAGGAACAAAGTGGAAAACATGCAGATGCTGATACCAAAAGTGTTTTCATATCATCTACTTTTATATATGTTGCAGGATATTCTTCAATATGGCCATTCGTTTGAGGTAGAGAAAATACTGTCTGATGAAAGGTATCAAACAATGAAGGTCAGTAGATGAAAAAAAGCATTTGTTTGCTTTTGCCATTCTGGTGCTGTGAAAATGTTCAACCATTTGCTGTCTCTCCAGGTCATAAAGCTTTTGAAAAACTTAAAATGCTAACTACTTCTGAGGAGAGCCTGTCATTTCAGAGCATGTCTTCTTGATTACATCCTTACCTCGTTTCCTGCCAGCTGTTCACAAGTGTGTTTGGGGTTGGACCGAAGACGGCGGAGAAGTGGTACCGCAGTGGGCTGCGCTCATTCAGCGACATTCTGACAGAGCCCGACATTCATCTGAACCCGATGCAACAAACTGGTACATCAACATTTCACCCTCTCCACTCTGCCACTCCACAAATGATGGACTGAAAAATACAACTTGAATTTGCTTCTTAGAAAATTTCTCCAGGGGAGGTTTGCATCTCATTCAGAGCCTTTTTTTCCCTTTTCGGTCCCATAGGAGGTTTCTTATGTGATTTGTTAGCTGTAATGTGTTTTCTCTAAAAGTGAGATGAGATGTGACCAGCAGGGAGTTTACAGTGAAAACATAATGCAAAAGGCAGCAGGGGTACTTTAATAAAAATCAATGAATAGTGACTATGAAGTAGAATGCCTGCTGTGGAATTAACACTCATCAATCAGCTGGGCAGAGCGCGAACCAGAGCACTCCATGAACGCCAAGTCTGTGTGAGGCTGCTAACAGTGTATAACTTGTATAGCATGTTAATGGTAAATGCAACGCAGGGGTGGGGAAACTTTTTCTTGCCAAATGCTTTTTCGATTACCACCTATTTATTATAACACCCTTCATTGGCTTTACTAAATGATTAATTATATATGAGAAAAAGTATCACACTAACCTCTGATGTGATGGCTGGAACCTTTTTTGTCTTTGGTGAACGATCTGATGTCCGATGGTAGTGTCACCTTTGGTCATGTCATGCTAGTAAAGTCAGTAATTAACAGTCATCTAGTGAGTTGATCTGTATTAGTGGTCTGTTTAATCTGAGGTCAGAGGGAAAACTGGAATTTTGCAGTCGTTTTTTAATTTCTTTATTATCACTTCAAGCAGCTTCACAGCTGCAACAAGCCTCCTTCAAAAGTTTACTTCTGATGAGGTCTAAGCTTCTTTGAAATTATCTCACTTCAGAGCTAATTGCTTGGTCACCACCAAACTTCTGTAAAACATTGTCTGACTGTGGTCTTGGAAAAACTGATTGTCGGTCACCAATCCAAGTGCAGTTAGTTTACCTGCGTCTTTCCAGCTGTAATGATGCTGGAAGTAGGCCTTTGCACTCTGCTGACTTTGGTGACCTCCTGACCTAGCTTCATCACCACTGGATGGATTGTCATGGAATTTGCTTCACATCCACATTAAATGCCCCCTAGAGGGTGAATCACAGTAACTCTGAATCCCTTCACTTTTAATCTAGCGCCATCATCAGGTCAGAATTTAAATGTATCCAGTACTTTGATTTATGACCAAATACTATAGAATCTAATGTCATTCCCATCAGCCTCAGCTGTACTTTGAATTAAGTGCTGTTAGTTAGCATTTAGCTCAAAGCAGTGTTGTGCTGTGCTATCATGGCTGCTGACTCTTAATCTTGTTTCCTAACATTGAAGCGTATTATGGTACTAACTGTCATTTCTGTTTCACATCAGTCCATGTTCCAGGTGAAATTATAATTCACTCTGAAAGTATATGGACTTGAATCACAGTGTTAGTCAATTCAAATATGACCTAGTGATGGCACTAGATGTTAAGGGAGGGGGCAATAACCAAAGTCCACAGAGACAGATGTGCAGAACAGGAAGTTATATTGGCAGTGATTATTCTCGGAGCTGAGTGAACAAAAATACAGTGAAGAAGAAGAAAGCATCATCAGCCTTTAACATATAGTACGTGGTTAAATGCCTCAAAGGAAAACAATGATATGCAACTTTTCATTTTTCTGCATCATTGCTTTGCTGCTGCTGAGGATGTTGCTGGATGTACATACTATGCACGTGGTGGTTATTCAAAACATTATATTACACTCATTGTAGGTTCCCATTCACTTTGAAACTCCATCCCATGTTGTATTATGCTGACAGACATCTTCATCAAACTGGTCATAATCCATCATTCGGAAGAGTCCCCGCTCCATGCAGAGAAATAATGTGATTTTTTGACATGGAAAATGTGTTTGTACCCTGATCCCGCCACTGTGTTCTGTAAATCTTAAAAGAGCAAAAACATGAATCATCCCATTTGTTTTATTGCACTACAGACAGAAATATAATGGCGGTGTAACTCTGTCTGTTCTAAGGGAAAGACAAGGATATTGATGCTTTTTATGTCGCACAGAAAAATGAGAAAACACAAAGTGAGATGCATGAAATCAACAAGATACCCATCAATCCATAAATCAGAATTTCGCTCCGTCTCTACAGTGTCTGTAATCCTCCTGTGTGTGCAGCAGCCGTGCACTGGGAGTCGCCTCCTATCTGCCAGCACATCACACTTTACCTTACTTTTAATTCACCATGACTCTCCACTTCCCCAGGGCAAACGGCTATGATTGATGGCTGACTGCCAGACTAATAAGCATGTGGTCTTTTCCCTGCAGGTTTTCTGCATTATGAAGACATCTCCAGGGCTGTCAGTAAGGCAGAGGCCCTAGCCCTTGGGAACATTATTGACGAAGCTGTCCATGCGATCACACCGGACGCCTTAACGACACTGACAGGTGGCTTTCGAAGGTACAAAACTTGTCTCCTCCTTTCAGTGTTGATATGGGGCTTGAAACAGAACAGCACTTCCCTTTCCACTGTTGTTAACTTCATATTGGTTATGCACAGGAAAATGCAAAAATATAAAAAATGTCTCAGGAGGGCTGCTTAAATCCCATGTGGCTACTCCTTATTACTTACTACAGTACCAGCATGGATGTCACCATGTGCGTGTGTTTTGGTAGATGCCTTAAAGCAGTTGGTGATGAAGTGCATCCACATATTGTTAATAATTATTCAATAAAATGAATTTATTTGACTTTTAATACTGCATATTATCACAGGCTGTTGGTCCTCCATCATAAAAGAGTGCCCAGGTCATTCGTGTTTTGCATTAGGACGCTTACATGCACTTCATTGTCAATCTCAGAGTGCACGGTGAGTGCTCTTGTAAAGCTACCTACTGAGTGTGACTGTTTGTTCACAGCCGGCGCCTCCCTCCATTGCCAGCTCTTTGTGTTGCTCTTTTTTTTTTAATGTGCAGTGCTTTGAGTGAGTGTGGGGCACTCTGCTGTGTGGTGTTGTAGAGATCCAGCCATGACCAGTGGCGTGTGCGGTAAATAATTCAAAAGCAGTCTGGCAGTAAGGACAGGCGCTTGCCTCTCAGCAGGGGTGACAGAGCTGCCTCAGCTCAGCTCACAGTCTTTAATAGTGCCTGGGCTACAAGCTTTATGTGTTGCAAGGGAAATATCTCTTTTCTCTCCAAAAACCTTATAAATGTTTCACTTGACTGTGTTTGTTGTTTTCTAACATTTTCTATTTCACAGAATTTTGGTATGAAATTATCATAGACTGACTTTTCAAAGTAATTTGGATTAAATATGGAGCCACTAGATATTAGCTGAACAGCAATTTAGCGAAAGCTATAATATTTAGCTTTCATTACATTTAAACAAGTGGAGATGTGTCATTGTCTGTTCCATTTATATACATGTTATACTACTGATTATAGTATTAAATAACAGTGAACTGCACACTAATGCATAGTACTGCATACTTTTTATACAGTTAATATATATAGCCTGTAGTACACAGGTTATAGTGAGCGACCCCTGGTGGTTATGCTCTGAAGGTATAAGTTGCATTAATTTGATTAAAACTTGGCCAAACGGTGGTGAAGGTTCCTGGTTCGAATCCCAGCTTGTCTGTTTGCAGTTCTCATGTTCTCTGAGTAGTCCAGCTTCCTCCCACCATTCAAAGAGTGGGGTAAAGTTAAGTTGAGACTGTAAATTGATCATAGGTGTGAATAGAAGAGTACATACTTGTTTGTCTCAGCATGTGGGCACTGTGATACGCTGGCGTTCTGTCCAGGGTGTACCCCACCTCTCGCCCAATGTCTGCTGGGATTGGCTCCAGCTCCCTCTGTGACCCTCAAAGGGTAAGTGGTATAAATAATGGATGGATGGATTGGATTGAACTGGAAGTATTCCAAGACAACACAACAACATAACTAAACTCCAAAGACTTTACCCAAGGTTACAATAATGTTTATTACTTAATACTTCAACGTAGGTATTTTACAAGGCTCTAAAACACACATTAATAAATTAAGTTAACAATGGCTGAAAAACAGAGCAAGCAAAAAGAAGTAGACAAAAGGCTGAAATGGAAACCGGAGTATGCAACTCCTTGTGGTAGTAACCAAAGGTGTGGAGCAGACTCACCTCTTTCCAGCGCCCAACACACTGCAACTCAAAGACAAAATATAGAAACTCAAAGAAATCATTGAGTGTTGTATAAACGTAGCAGGCACCAGTGATGGGAGCTCACCTCCATGTTCTCCCACAAGGAGCAGGCCCATGCCTCTGGGCCTGTGGTGTGCAAAGAAAGAGAAAAACAAAGAAATGTCAGAGCACAGAGCAGAACACAATGTCACAGACAGATATACAGAGATAATCCTCACAAACTGCTTTGAATGGTGTTGGGAAACTTGCTTGAAAATATAATTTACTCATCGGTTAAAAATGGCTTTACTTTACACAAAATGCAACTCTCCAACTAATATCAGAGGATTCCAGAAAGTACCAGTGGGTTGTGTTAGCGAGAACATCCAATCTCAACAGTTACATGGGCGAACTTCACTTTCTGAATGCTGGGGTATAAATTAATTAGTCTCTGCGGTTATAGGTCCACAAAGTAAAGATAGGATCAAACAACACAAGGAAAGAAAAATCCAACATCTTTGAAAGGCATAAACGGCTGCTGCAATGATATCTCATTATGTAAATAAGTGCTTCTCAAGAGGAAAATGTGGTAATGTGGTAAAAGAGATGAGGAAAGAGATTAGAGCATCGTGGATACTTAACATCGAGAATGAAGGGGAGGAACTGTGGAAGATTTATGTGCCAGGAGTCTGCTGCAAAGTGTAAAGGGCCTGTGAGAGAGCCTTTATAGCAAACTCAGGGCGAGGAGGCAGACATCTACTTCATCTCATGTTTGGTGCAGGCTCGGGGAATATTACGTGAGACGTAATTAGATTCATGTGGGGCTATAATTGAAGAATGATCACTTGTATATTATTAGTCAGTAATTTACTTTCATCCTGTTAAAAAGTTGATTCTGTAGACGTGGTTTTAAACATAGTGGGAGGCGTGGTAAGGCCTATTACAAAGTGCAAAAATAAAGTGCATATGCTCTCTGAGATGCCAGCAGCACCACTAATAACCCGTTAATTCTCTTCAGCGTGACATATTTTAAAATGTTCACTTCTAAAGTCCTGTCAAAGCACGATTTAATTACCTATAATTTCCAGCCTGATGCAGAGTCTCTTATTAGCGGCATCTTTCCAGCCGATAGCCCTTGTCAAAAATGGGAATACACATACAGTATACTCTATACCTCTTTAAATAGATGTGCTTGGCTCTGGCTAATCTTTCATCTTCTGGATAACATACACTCAAAAAATAATTCTGTTCCCAAAAGTTTCATGAAATAAGCAGCGTTTTGGAATAAACTCAAGGTGTCATCCACTCCAGAAGAAACATGGCGAGGATTTGTTGATGCCGCCGACATTATCCTCATTGAAAGGACAGCTGTGGAGGGCGGGTGACAATTATTAAAGCGGTTTTGTTGAGGAGGGTGGGGGGGATTAAAAATAGATTAGTCTTGAAAATGCAGCTTCTGTCACCGCTGTGTGTGAAAGGCTCACACGGTGTCAGCGGAGCACTGTATTTATTTCAGTGTGAAGTCCCCGCTGTGGCTGCTATTTAACATCTGATCGTCTGGAATACGCCTCAAAGTGACACTGATGAGGGGCCTGATGTTGTCAGCCGTCACATCCTCAGACTGGGGCTGAGTCCCCCTGCATTTTTTCTTCCATGAACAACAATTGAGATAAGTAATCCTTGTCAGTTTGGTTCAGGGTGTCATGGTTTTTCAAACTAACTCTATTATCAGCTTGCAGGCGAAAGCACAAAAACATGCTGTCAGATAATGAGATATGGCCCATGTCGACTTTGCACCTATTGCTTGTTCTTGAATATCGCCTGGTTCTTCTGCATTAGGAAACTTTGGTAACAAGGGAGATGGAAGGTGAAATGCATCACTACAAATGGTTTCTTTTCCCTGATCAGCTACTTTCATCTTCTCTTGCACTCCGTCCCTCCTTCAGATGAATGCATTCAGTGAAATTTCCAGCCGCAGCAACACTCCCCACATCTGTATTATTCATACATGTCACGCTGTCGTCCACACAAATTTGTAAATAACCATGTATATTTTATGGGCTTTGTGCAGAACTATTTAATAATTTAACATTTTCTCTCGCACAATAAAAGAGCAGACTGCTTAAGTTCACACCAGGCGTTTATAGATGTACTGCTCTGCTCTGCCTTGCACTTAATTAGAATATTAAAAAAAACACTGGAAGTGTAGTGTTGCTGTACACAGTCCATCAAAGCTAACATTTTCTGCTGAATCTTCTCAGCCATATCGCCCGCTGACAGGAGTGGGATGCCAAATGCTAAATAAAAACGGTGTTGTGAAGGTGCACCGTTAGAGGCAGAGATGAAGAAAAACACCCTCTTTGCTGGAGAGAATGTGCCTGACACGGTGTCGTCTAATTTCCGCTGAAGGGGGTTGAATTAGAGGAGGCACAGACCCGACACATACTAATGCTGCTGTGTGGTGCACTCAGGAAAGAGCTGAAAAGTGCATCGCAGCGTGTCTTCACCTCAAACGACCACCGATTCCCATGTCAGCCCCTCACAAGCAGCCATGCCTCGATAAAATCAGGTTGTTTTTAATGCTGATTGGAGGTAAACTGAATTTATGCTGATGGTCTCTTTGTCTCTCTCCCGCTGAGTTTTTTTGCTATTCGTGGCACACATATATGCGGTGCACTCGAGTGAGTTTTGCCAGCGCAGCAGAGGCTAGCGGCGAGATTCACTCAACAATTTGAGTGCCCTGTACGCGTTGGAAGTGTTGCAGATTCCTGGCTTCGCCAGTTAGTAGTGTTGGCGGAAAGCTGCTCGTTCAGCAGATGGGAGTCTGTGATGCATTCTCAAAAAGCTGTGTCAACCAGTCAACTGATTAAAGAAGTGTAAACTTTTCACATAAAGGCCGACATGAAAAGCACTGAGTATGAGGACAAGTGAGATTAAATGATATACAGTCACAGAGCAAATTAAATGACTGTGACTAAAGCACCATCTGCTGAGTGAACCTGTAAGCCAGGCACAGTCCGTCAGTGCCACAGGGGTACATGCTCTTTGCCACTACCACTAACCATTAACATTATCATGCCTTGTGGAGCTCTAATGGCTGTTCTTTTTAATACTTCCCTGCTCCCTGAATTAGCCACGGTGACCTTTGAAGCTTTCTCGCAAGCCATTCACGCCTCCTTCCATTCCTTTAATGTTTCTCTCTCTCTCTCTCTTGCTGTCTCACTGCCTTCACTCATTTGTTCAGTGCAGCAAGGAGACAGCAAACATGGAGTTTCGCAGCCGCCGACGTTTCTTCTTGTCATTGTGCTTTGTGGTTAGGTGTGACACTTAGCGTCTGCATGATTTCTGCAATTGTTTATCGAACTGTTTGTGTGTGTTTGAGTGGGCGGTGGAGAGTGATCACTGTGAAATGAGGCCTGGACTTTTGGTAGTGTTGAAAAAGGTTTGGCCTTGCAGGGGCAAGATTCTTGCTTCATACTTGGACCTTTTTTTCGTTTGAAAGCAAATCAAATCTGCTAGAGACATGTAGTTTTAGATGCCTGGAAATGCTGTTGGCCCCGTTTTTGTTTGAAAACTGCAGGCCTGCATTTTAGCCTGGATGACCAGAAACTGAGATGTTTGAAAACAAAGTTGTAGACACTCACAACCGCTTGCTGATAGTGTATTTTCGGTCATGATTCTTCAGGCTCCGATTACATGACCCTCTCCTGGAAGAAAACAAACAGCATTCGCTTCAGCTACCAGTGTATAGAAGATATGGATAATTAATTACAAGCGTCGTTGACCCTGATGTGTTTTTCATACTACAATGTTACAACTGCTTACAAGTGTAGGGGCACTAGTATCCGCACAATTCCTGTTCACAAGGGCACGCACAGCCAGTGTACGTGAGATGTCATGTGATATGCGTTTTGAGACATATTAGTGGACGGGGAGCCAAAATGCCAGAGATTGTTTTAGTTTCGTTCGCTGTTTGGATGAAGTGTGTATAATCCAGGGGGTAACTCCAGCTCTGGGTGTTTGTGTTTGCTGTAAAACTGCCATATGAGGCTGTGTTAGCAGGTTACTATAATCCCACTGTCACTTTCCATCATTCCATCTGACTGCTGTTTGAGTCATCCTGCTTCTTGGGTGAAAGACAGGTGGCCGGTCGATCACAGGACTCACACACAGACATATTCACTGTCATGTTTTTGGTCTTGTTTTGACTTACATGTGTTTGTCACCACTTTTCTTTAAGACATAACAGTCTTGATATCTTGCTCAAATGCCAAAGAGCACATCAAACTACAGATAAAGCCTGTGGAGCGCTTCTCTGATGATTTGAATTATTGAGACGTCATAGAAAGCTTCGACAGACTTTACTGTGTTTTCATGAATGTGTGTGTCAGAAATGCAGACACAGGTGGGTGTGGCCAACTGCTGTTCTGCAATTAAGCTGACTGGAGGTGCACGTGCACAATCCTGGCACAGCACCAACTAGTCTGGAGAAGTGGCTGAAAACATGATGAATATATAGCTAGTAGGAGGAATACATTATCAGGGGGAGGAGTTGGAGCGGGCTTCAGTGACAGCCAATCATATCAGCTCCTCCTATGACCTTCGAAGGACAAGTTTGTTCATGGTTTTTTGCAACTTAACACTCTTTTGTATAAAGCTGTAGAGCTGTAATGACTGGACAATGGCAGTGAAAGGTTAGAACAAAAGCCAGTTTTATTATAACAACGATTGAGCAATATTACTCCACCAACAAGGCTTTGTCTGAAAGTTAGCATGATTCCTGTGGGAACTGAATGTTGTAATTTCATTTTTTTTACCTGGAAATGTATTGATTTTCAGTGATGTCTAAGTCAAGACAATCTGAAATTCTGTCAGAGAACAATCGTGTGGGTCTTCTCTCAATGCTGCATGAAGTAAAGACAATTGATTCATCACATCATGTCTGTATTTCTAGAGAATGACTTGAGCATTAACTACTCTCGACATTCGAGACAGGACAGATAACCATGAAACTTTGTGGAAGGATGGATTCAAAAAGAACCCATCACATTTTGTTGTGGATCTGGATGATGGGACGGATCCAAGAATTATTTTGACTTTCTTTAACGCTGCAAGATCGGGCGATTTTCAAGATTCTTCTTTTATTTCATGGATCTTGATGAAAGAAATCATATCATTTTGCATATTTAGGGGATTTATATATGAGTGTGTGCAAGTTGGTGCCGATCCCAAAAAAAATCTGATTCTAGTAAATTCGATTGTGATTTCTCAAAGGGACTGTTTGGCCATGTGCTCTCTGATTGTCATTCTAGTTGATATATATGTCACAGCTCCCACCCATCAGTAAAACTATCAATCCCAAATATGTACACACAGTACTTTAGAACCATGTAGAAGTCTGAGCAGAAAAATCAGGCTTGATCCAAAAATGTGATACAGAGGCTGACTTGTGTCCAGTCCTCTTCACTATTTAATTTCTTTCACCTTTAAAGGGTCAGCCATATGTACAACAGAGACATATCCAGAGTCTCTGCAAATGGCTTATGATTACCACCCTATGGCATTCTATTCTTCAAAGCTGCCTCCTGTCGTGCAGGAGATGTCAGCTTGTTAACAGGCTGTTGCTGCCACAGCTTCAGACATGCACTGGACTCCACAGTCCCTCCTTTTTTTTTCTCCCGAGGAGGTGCATGTGTGAAAAGTCGACGCTCTGTAGTTTTTGCAGACTTTATCCGACGACCTCCTCGTATAATGTCTGTAAAAATCCAGGAGATTTCGATATGTGAACACAGCAGAGGATCCCCACTGGATTCACCGGAAGTAAGTGAGGAGTTGATGATGCTTCTAGAACGCGACAGATGCAAAAATGAAAAATCAAAAAGAAATCAAATATTTCCCAGTGAAAAAGCAGTGTCATACATGTAGAAGACACAAGAGTTTGTGGTGATAACAGCTGACGATGGTGTCGGGGTAATGTAAACATGATCACAAGATCTCGGCAGCTGAGTTAATACGTCACTTTCTGTCTCTGTCTGCTGCACTCAGCTTCTCCACCTCTCGCCTGAATAAAGCGGATGATTTGTTGCTGTTGTGAATGCATCTTCGCAGAGAATCTCCAGCTGTGTTGTGCGAAAGGCAAACTGCGGGTAGACTCCGCAGCCAATTATCCGGATTTTACCTGCAGGTCATGTCTGACAACAGCTTTAGATTAAAAGTCTATCCTTATTGTGATGGATGTAAAGTTTAGCATCTTTTAAACACTTGTGCTACGCAGCTGCACAACAAGCAGTGCTTATCCCGTCCTATATAAAGCCGACTACAGTGTTTGTCTTTGCAGCCTTGTGTTCTTTCATGTTGTCTCACTCGATGGTGTAGTTCTGCGCCAATGGTCATGTGAATCAAGTTGGACACGGATCTGCACGTATGGGAAAAGGAGGAAAGATTGATGTGATTGTTACCCAATGGTTCGCCCCAGGTACAACTGCCTGGTATAACAGCATTAAAGGCATTAAGCCAGTCATTGATTCTTTTCTTGAACAGGGTCTTTTATTTTCAGCATTTGTTAAAACAAGGCAATTCAAATTGCTTCCAACAAAGCACACAATGCATTAAGACCAGATAAATATAAAAGACAAATTTAAATAGGATTTAAAAGAACAAATGAAAGAGAACACCTGAAATAGATTCAAACAGAATAAAGAGGAGACAAAACTACAACTTTGAGTTTAATTTGATAAATTACAGACACAAACAGAAAAAGTCTTAAGCTCTGATGCACCCATTATACTGATCCTGCCGACGATGCCAAGTTGATGAATAAAAAAACATTTGGTCAGTCGCCATTGATTTAAACTAATGTATCTATTCTGGGATCAGACTCCATACACGAGAAAGAGTATAGAATCTGCTTAACCCCTCCCTGAGCCTAATATAACACATTCCAATGAGGACAAGGCGGTAGTTTGTCTCTTGTCTCAAAAATATAAGGACAGTCAGAAGACTTTACAGTGAGAATATCTCAGACACTGGGACTCTAAAGTCTTCAGGAGTGAACAGTCTGGCATCAAAGGTCACAGCAGAATGAGTTATTACAAAAGTCGGTCTAACAGTGATACAGTAGTTTCATATACGCTCATATATAATAAAGTCTACCTCACTGTTGACAGCCAGTGGCCAGGCACATTGTGGTTTGGTTCATCCATCAGTCCCATTCTTGTGAACACAATATCTCAAGATGTACTGAGGGAACTTCTTCACATTTAGTACAAATGATAAGTTGGACTCAAGGATTAATTGATTTAATTCTAGTGGTCAAAGGTCAATGTCACTGTGACCTCACAAAATAAATGTTCGGGGGTCGTGAATGCAACATCTTAACCTTCAGGGAAGTTCTGCAAATTTGTGTTCGCTGAGGTTCATAGATGAACCGATTAGATATGGGTGGTCAAAGGTCATGGTGGACTCATTATTGTGAATGCAATATATCATGAACACCTGGAGGGACTGACCCTGCATTAGTTGGCATCCAACCGCAGTGTGGTAATTCTAGCTGTAACAAATTCGAGGTCAGAAATTATAAATCCCCTTTGACCAAGTCATATTAATCAAAGCATGCTGCATCTTCAGAAAGTCAGTGTTCTCAAAAACAGCAGTGTTTTGAAAGCTGTGCAACTGATTCAGTGGGATGATTCCAGACAAAATCTTTGTTATGTTGTTTGTGTACATCTCCTCTGCACATACACAGGTTCCCTGCTGAGCTCTTCGTTGTATCTGTACTTGCCCGATAATCACTAACAGTACTGGAAGTTGCCTGCAGTGGAGCTGACAGCGACAATACTTGAATATGGCTCGCAAAAATGATGACTGTGATAAAAGTTAAGCTCTGACAGCTGAGAAAACAAGCAGCAAGCAATGACTTGTCTCAATGATGAAAATGCTAGTGTCCTTAGCTTAGCTTGTGCTTTTAATAGCTCTGTTTGCCAACCTTACCTCCTCACCAGTTAAGGACTGTGATTGAATGATCAGTGTTCTCATTGTCACAGTGAGTGATTATCAGTGTTATGATTTCATCCCCAGGGGGAAGGAGTTTGGTCATGATGTAGACTTCATTGTGACCACACCAGAGCCCGGGAGGGAGAAGAGTCTGTTACCTGACATTATCGACAGATTTAAACAAGATGTAAGTATGATCTTTGTATGATTTTTATTCACTTGTGGTAGGTAATGAGGATAAAAAAAGGATGTCGAACTGTCTTTTGTGGATAAACTTGAGTGTTTTCCTCACAATTTTTAAAATGTATTTGTTCATATAGGTTTGAATCCAAATCACTGAATTTAAATATGTTTTGTTAAATGACTTGTGGATTAAGTTATATTAGGGTAATAAGCTAAATATAAAGGCACAATTGGGTGGACATAATTACAGAATAAACTTCTATGATGCACACGTGTTTCATTTTACAACTTTACATTCAAAGTTAAACTGCCATTTGTGTTTTCATACCCTGTCCTATCAGTCTTCTTTTAATTTGTAGTTTAATGGTAGGTGCTTGATAGCTACATGTAGTCAGTTTATTATACTATTGGTCATGGAACTTAATTTGGAATTTCAATTTGCTCTTCAAAAGAAGTGCAGACGATAAATACAGATAGAGTGTGACAACCTGTCCCATCGGGGTCATCGGGCAAAAATCTAAACAGATTTCAGGGTATGATTTATAATGAGTTAAGTGAGCAATAGCTTTACACTGCAAGTGTTCAACAAAGTGCAACTGTGCCCTTCTGTTTGTGTGAAAACAATTCTTTTTAATTGTCATGGTCATTTTTATGGCACTCAGTCTGCTCACACATGTGTTACCAATGTAAGCAGGCAAGCTGTAACCATGGTAACAAGAATTGCATGACAGTCAGGGACAGGGAAGCAAAAAGTCAGTGTGTCAGGCTTGACTCAGGGTGGCACAAATAAAATGCCTGTCTGGATCTGTCACTACTGCCTCGTGTTTGGGTCCGACAGGAGAATGCAGCCTGAGCCATGCTCTCAGAAAACAGGGTTTGGACACAATAACATAAACATCAGTGTTCAACATAATGTTAGTCTTGTACTATATAAACACAAACTCCAGCCTTGAGAATAATGTGTGTTGAAATGATGCCTCTTGACACACTTTCAATACAGGTATACATTTCAAGCAAACATTTCAGGTATATGGCAGCTAACAGGACACAAAGGTTTAGAAATTTGCAGCCTCTGATTTCAGAAGTTCTGCACCAGAGAGCTGAGCCATGAACATGGTTGTCAATAGCCAAACTGTTTCTTCTTATCAGGGTTGTAAATACCGTTATTTAGTTAAAGCTTTCAGTTACATGTGACATCTGTTGCACTTCTGTCCATCCTGGGAGAGTGGCTCTCTCCGAGGTTTCCACGTTTTCTCCCCTGTTAATAGGGTTTATTTTGTGCAGTTTTTCCTTACTCTTATTGGGGGTTAAGGACATAGGATGTGTTACCTTGTTAAGCTCTATGAGACAAATTGTGATTTGTGAAAATGGGCTATAAAATTTGATTGATTGAATAGAGTTTACCTCGATTACATCATGTGCAAATAACTCAGGAATGCCACAGAATAACAAAACAAGTTTGAGTACCATACACAACACACAGGTTGGTAATATTGTGTTGTTTATGCAGGAGACATTGGATTACAGTGGCTCAACAGTCCTGTGTGTGTGTTTCCCTCCCTACAACGTTTTCTTCCCACCAAAAGTATTTTTACTGTTTCATTCCAGAGCTGCATCTCACTGTTATTGCTGCTCTATGTCATTTTACATTGTGATGTGACATGAGATAGAATTAAACCTGCAATAGCATCTGATTCATATTATGGCTTCCGCAATATTTCAGTTTTATGTCTATGATTGTACAAATTAAGTAAAAACACACCATCTGCCTTTGTGAACAATCAAGACTACATCACGATTTCCTCGAATAGCTTCTTTCCTTTAAAGCCCAATTCACACTTCTGCGTCGAAGCTACACGGTAGCTTATGCCTGGGCGTGCACCCTCAACAGAGCTGCACTCCCGTACCCTAACGTGCACCTCCCCAACAATTTAACTACACGTTAAAGTGATGCTGACCACAAAGGCTGTGATTGGTCCGCTTAGTAAATCACATATCCGGCAGACTGCGCCATTTTTTAATTGGGTTGAAGGAATGAACCCGGCCGACTTTTTTTGCAGTTCAATAAGAAAAGTAATTGCCCTTGAACAACTATCAGCTCCAACCCAATCCACTTAGTAACACTCGCCATTGTTGTGAAGTAAACAGAGACATGAGAGAATTTGAAAATACGTGGACCAGAAATCCAGAAGACATTCAACACCAGCATAGAACCTCCACTAGCGTTTCGGTCGTGTTGTTGCAGCGCGACTCACACACACCTACGCACAACTAGAATGCTCAGCCTCGTGCGTACCTACGGCCTAGCTTTGACACAGATGCATGAATTGTGTCTAATTGAGCTGTCACTGTCATACGTCACAGTGACTGAGTGATATGATTGACTGAGGATATTTTTTAATCAGCTCTTCAGCCCTTTTCTCTGCTGCACCCAGAAGATTAATTTATGTCTTGACTGCTAAAAATACATGACTAGACACCATAGGCGTACATGCTGTGCTATCATTTTCTGATGTTCTGGATAAATGAGAATGAAGACTGAAAAAGTATAACATCCCGGTGATCACTGTGTATTCTGTGATCTAGAATTCAAAGAAATGTAAAAGCCTCATAAATCTGAAAGTTAGTCTTCTTTTCGTTGGTTTTACTGTTGGACGCTGGAGGATTTTCCAGAGAAAAAAAAAAGAAGAACCAATACTTTTTGCCTTAAGGACATACTGTGTTTCTGACTGCACTGTATGCTGCATGATAAGTCATTAAATGGGGTTTGACACTTTTCCATCATCCAGAACTGTATCCTTGCAGCTATATCATAAAACTTAATGTGGTCCGGCTTCTGATTGTATGGAAGGAGACTGGGAAAAGTGATAGCCCCCACCCAGACTGCTAGGAACCTGGGTGTGACACTCAACGGTCAACTCTCCCTTTCTGCCAACATTACTGCAACACCCCGCACATGTAGATACATGCTGCACAACATCAGGAGAATACGTCCCCATCTCACTCAGAAGGTGGCACAGATTCTGGTCCAGGCTCTGGTCATCTCACGCCTAGACTACTGCAACTCCCTCTTGGCTGGTTTAGCAGCGCAGTGCTATCCGACCACAGCAGTTCATCCAGAATGCGGCAGCTCGACTGGTCTTTAACTTACCCAAATTCACTCACACTGCTCCACTCCTCCGCTCCCTTCACTGGTTACCAGTGGCTGCCCGCATCTGTTTCAAAACACTAGTACTTGCCTACCATGCTGTGAACGGATCGGGTCCAGTCGACATCCAGGAAATGGTCAAACCTTACACCCCAGCCGTCCACTCCGCTCTGCATCTGCTTGGCTTGGCTTGCTGTGAGCAAACCACCAAACACAATCCCCACTGTTTTGCTGTCCTGGCTCCTAAATGGTGGAAGGAGCTCCCCATTGACACCAGGACAGCAGAAAGTCTTCACATCTTCCGCCCACACCTTGGTTAAGATAAGGTCTGAAAAAAGGGATAAATATATATGGCACTTATATTGTAGCACTTTGTAGTTTGGCTTTTGTAGGCAAAATGTACTTGGTTCTTGTTGTTCTGGGCTTGTTCCCTCATGGTTGATGCACTTATTGTAAGTCACTTTGGATAAAAGTGTCAGCTAAATGAAATGTAATGTAAAAAAGGTGAACAAAACAAGTAAAAGAGAAATAGTACAATTTAGCAGGTTACTAAAAAAAAAAAAACTTTTAGCAGGTCTGTCAAGGACCATGGGCAGCACTGGAGACCCCTTAATGGAAAATGGATCCTTTAATGGAACATGGGGTGGGAAAAAAAGAAGAGGTGGGAGAGAGGAGAGAAAAGGAGGAGGATGAATGTGACAGAGAGACAGATAGCAGCTGGTTGAAAGTAGTAGGAAGTGAGAAGAGTGAGAAAATGTGTAAATGAGAGATAAAACAGAAATAGACAATGTTAATGGAATGCTTTGTTTACATACAGCTAACAGTTTAATTATTGGCTGTATGCATTTATTCGCCGCTAATATTTAAGTAATGTGACAAATGTCGATGCTGAAGTGTCTAATTAAAATCCAACGTTTGTACACACATTTATCTAATTATGTTAAACTGAGGTCTTAATCACAATTGTGAAAACAAAAGTCCGCTGCGATCATGTTTGCACATTTTTTACTGCTTTTACCTCGTCCAGCTTTCAGGTTTTACAAGATTATTCACAATTTATTAACAGCACAGTTTGCATTTAAATGAAGAGAAAAATCTGAGTAAAAATGCTTGTTGTATGCCCCTGAGAGGGGGAAATAGCAAACAGTTCAGCTTTCAAATCATTAATTGGAATTTTAGTTAAATAACTGGCAAACACGAATCAGAAGCAAATAAGCAACATTTTGGAATAAAAACATTATTATACATGGTTGTGTTGCATTAATGAATAATGACTTGTGATCTTTGAAGAAGTATAAAGCAGTTAAACCGTGAAAAGAATTTCACAGTGCCATTCAGGGCACATTTTTATTGCATTTTTTAAAACTCGAAATAGGAAGCAGAATTGCATTAAAATATCATTAAGAAGAACCCTAACTTTATATTTTCTCATTAGTTTGTTATGCACATGTAGAATGCAAATCTGACTTTTCTAAACTGCCAGAGTTTTTACATACACAAGACAAAAGGCTCCTCTGTTACACTGAGTGTGCACCATTTTCTTCCCTACTAAAAATGTCCACATATTTATACTTTACATTATCAGATCAAGAGTTGTATTTTATAGTTGTTCACAGCAAATATTTGACATAGACACTGTTTTCTTTCAGTAATTATTGCAGTGCTATGCAGCAACTAATCATGTTATTAGCTACACCTATATTTATCAACTTCAAAACACTTTAACTTAGACTCTAAGACATTTTTTCAGTTAATGAGACATGTTAAAGATGCACTGTTTTCACAAGACTCTGCTGCATACATTGAAAGAGTCGTGGGTCACTGTAATTATTCCTCCTCACTTCTCCGCTGTACAA